CTGGTGTAAATAGTAAACACATGGGCACTCTCATGAATACTGTTTTTCATTTCCTTCTAATCACTTTCAACGACATATACTCTACCTTTATCACTTCTGGCAGGGGCTGTAATTTCTTTCTCACATTCAGGAGCAATATATCCAATACGCTGACAATTGTAACATCTTGAATTTGTTAACTTACACTGAAAGCTTTCATGTTTCCCTCGGCATCTCTTACATTTCAAATCAGCATATGTTCCTTGTTTTGTGGCATAACTCTTTCTTTTAGCTCCAGTTACTTTACACACTGAGCCACTACTGCCAACTGTTTCACTACCGGCATTGGGAACACATTGTCTGGTGTTTTTCTCTGCTAATTCCATGCTTGTAGCTATTTGACATGCTTTTTAAAAAGTTAAGTTAGTGGTGTTCATTAACTTATATTGTATTTTTTTCATAATTCAGACCTATCACAAACCTGTCTCTTAGAGCTCGGTTCAAGAACTGTCCAAAGTTACAGTGAATGGATAACTTCTTGTGCCAAATTTGTAACTTTCAACGATCTCAAGTGGAGCAGGATCAAATTGTTGATTCAGAATCTTGGTAATCTGAATCAGTGAGAAGTCTTTTGGTTTGTCTGGAACAAGCAGATTGACCAGAGTAGAATAAACATTAGCTCCTACCTCTGTCAAAAAGATTGCTTTCCTTTTCTCTTCAAGGACTTTCTTCTTCTGAGCATCACCTCCGATGTGAAGTTCTCCTTGTCTGCATCATACTCCCCCACTTGTCAGATGTATCCACTGACGCCAGCCATGGTTGCTCTCTTCACTTAAATTCTCCATGTTCAGAGTAGCCTTCCCTTCAGTGGTCACTATCTTCTCTTCAAGGACTTCACCAACACTTTGTGAATCCCATCCTCGTCGCCAGTGTAGTATCTTACATGATTCAATGGGAGAATGAGAAGCCACATACTGAGTCTTAATTAAATCATGTAAGATACTACACCATACTCTCTGTGCTTGTTTGTATGTTCTTATGTTTAATGGCAAAATGATGTATTTTTCGTGAAGCTCTTTTATTTTGGTTGTGCATGGGGGACGTTGTTTGGAGGCTCTGTGTTGCCTGGAGTTTTAATTGGTTGGTATGGCTGATCGTGTTTAATGGTATTCTAGATGGGGGCGGACTAGTGCTTTAAATAGGTGTAGTTATATTTTTTCTTAATTTTACTGAATCTTCTTAGTTTTGTAAGCTGTATTTGGGTTACTCTATTACGTTCTGTTATGTGTTTATTTATTCCTGTTCTTGTTATTGTTAGCCCCAGTATTTTTCCTTCATTTGAGTATTGTATGTCTTCGTTGTTTACTGTGATTGGTGCTGATTCCCGACGTAAGTGGTGGTGGAGAGACTCGGGGTAAGAAAAGTTCCTTGAACTCCTTGAACAGGGAGGAGAACTCGTTGGAGGGTGAGAGGCAGGTGATAGTGTCAGCCCACCCGGATCGTGTGTGCAGTAGGCTCATGGATAAGGCAGAGGTTGCTTGGGTCACCGACGAGCTTGTGGAAGGTGAGGAAGTCGAAGACAAGGATGGGTTGCGAGACGTCTGTCACCACGAAGGACCAGCGCAGAGTCTTGGGAAGACCAAAGTCTAAGGCGAGGATGTGTGCGCCGTAGGAGGTGATGGGGGCACCGTTGGCGGCGAACAGGTCATATGAGGGTTGCTTCGATGTGTCTCGCAGTGAGGGAGGGATGATGCTGACCGATGCCCCTGTGTCAGCGAGGAATTTCCTGCCGGAGATGTAGTTGGTGATATGCAGCGGTGAGACGCCTGAAGTGACGGAGGTTGTGGCGTCTACCAATCCCCGTCGATGCCGTTTCCCGAGTAGTTGCAGGGAGCCTCACAACGTCTTGTGTTCGGTCTGACTAATTACCCAAATGTAGCAAAATGTAGCCGCACTGAAGTCAAATAATGGTCCTACATGAATAAATCGGACTGCTAATCACTTCTCGACCAGTATTTGGTGTCACAAAGTCACAAAAAATTGGAAAACTTACTTTCATCTGAGTTAATAGATCGTGTGCATGTACCGAGGGAACGAGTAATTACCCAAATGTAGCCAAATGTAGCCGCAATGAAGTCAAATGATGGTCGTACAAGCGTAAATCGGGCTGTGAATCACTTCTCAATTATTATTTGGTGTCATAAAGTCACAAAAATTGGTAAACTTAATTTAATCTGAGTTGTGTTAAGCCAGGTTAGGTTAGATTAGGTTAGGTTAGGTACATGCACTTGATCTATTAACTCAGTTTAAATTAAGTTTACCAATTTTTTGTGACTTCGTGACACCAAATACTAGTCGAGGTTAGGTTAGGTTAGGTTAGGTTCGGTACATGCACTCGATCTATTAATTCAAATTAAATTACGTTTTCCATTTTTTTTTACTTTGTGACACCAAATACTAGTCGAGAAGTGATTGGTAACCCGATTTATTCATGTAGGACCATTATTTGACTTCATTGCGGCTACATTTGGGTACATTTGGGTAATTAGTCGGACCCTCTTGTGTTAGCACCGACGTGTTGATGGTACCAGCAGAGGGTAGGTGCACTCTGCTGGGAGCTGGCGGCGGTGTCCGATGCAGGACGAAAACGTCGGGGTTGGTAGGACATAGTGCGCGGGGCAGGAGCAGCAGCAGGCATGGAGGAACAGAGCTGCTCGAGGGTGTCCATTCTGCGGTGTAGAGACTGTAGCAGGTCCGTCATGTCTTGTGAGGTGTTGCTCGTCTGAGGAGCGTTGATCCAGTTGACAAGATCGGAGGTAAGTGACGGTGTGGCCGCTGAGTTGTCCGTGGCACCATGGCGCACAGCAGTGTATTCATGGAATACTCTGTCTGCCGTGGCTGCGTAGGTCGCCGGGGTTGTAGAGTAGTCCAGTGCGGACAGAGTGAGGCGAACTTCTGCGGGGAGCTTCTGGGCGCGAAACTGGCGCAGGGCAGTGTCAGGAAGCCTGTCTGTGTGGCGGGAGTTCAGACTACGCATCTCGTCCCAGAGACGTGCAGGCGTTGAGTTGGCAAAGACAAGACTTGATAGGTCTTGCAGCAGACTGGCGCCAGGCCGCTGGTATCGCCTCTTCAGAGCATCTCGTAGAGCTTAGAGCTACAAATTTGTTGTCAGCTGGAGGGTTGGTGATGACTTCTGAGACTTGCGTGACGACTTCTGAGGGCAAGAAACAGACCAGGGCGACGTACTTTTGCTCGCCTTTAGCTGTTTAGCCGGTGAGAGCTGCCTCCACATGAATTAACCAGTCCTCAATGTTGTGGTTGAAGATTGAAAGCGAGATTCGTTTCTCATCCGTTCTTGTGTGAGGGCGTCACTCCGTGGGTCACCAATTGTAGGGTAGTGTACTGTATGTGGCCAGTTGTCTAATTTATCTTTGTGCATGTCAATTCTCTTTGTTATGGTCATATACACACGTACAATAAGGGAGATCTCGCATTCAGGATGGAGGTGAGAAAGGAAACTCACAATGGCGTTTTCTTTATATATATTATATGTACAGAGCAGTCAAGTGCTGGGAATTTGCTGCGTAGTAGAGGAGTTGCTATAGAGGGGTGTAGTGGACGTCTCCCCTACAACTGCGTAGCCGCATGCCACCTGCTACGTCTTCCCTAGCAACCAAACGAGCGGCACAAGGGGGGGGGCGTCACCAGATGCCACAGTATCCTAGCAACGGAGTCAAAAGACCGGCGGCTTCCCACGGTTGACTCACGGGTGACTCACGGCTGCTGTGTATATAAACTCTGTCTCTCCATTGAGATTCATTCTGGCCCTCGCTTCTCCTCCGCCTGCCTGGCGGTCCTCGCTCCCGCCGGCGAGCATGGCGACCCACCAGCTGTCCTTCTCTGAGCGTCCTCACCAACCAGCTCTCTTATTCTGCTCTCGGTTCCTGAACACGCAACACCTCCTCCAAGCAAGCTCCTCGCTGTCCCGTTCTCATTCAACCTGGAGGCCAGCAACAGGCAACATCTTCTCTAACGAAGCTCCTGCACATCTACCTCCTTCAACACGCTACTCACCGAACGTGTCTACTGAGCAGCTCCTCACCACACGGCATCTCCAGCACCAGACTGTCTACCATATAACTTATATTATATAAGAAAACCACCACCTTAGAGTTTCCATCCATCCTGAGTGCTAGACAACATTATATCACGAAACCCTACAGGGGCTTCTTTAGAGGAGGTCTTCTCTGCTTAAGAACTTGATGTTGTCTGCCCTCTTGACTTGACTTGAAGTCTGTGGATAAGGTAGAGAACTATTGCTTGTAATGCTGAGTGGGAGGGCAGGGATTAGGATTGGAAGTACTTTGGTAGCAATTTGGGTGTACCACCACACATTGCTTGCGGTCATGTAGAAAGTCTTCTACCCATGCTCGGACATTTCACGGAATCCCGTACCCTTCCAGTTTAATTTTCAGCCTTTAATGGGGTACACTGTCAAAAGCCTTGGTAAAATCTAAGTACTCCGACATACAATATTTATTTTACATCACTATTTATCATTTCCACCACTTATCAGCTTACTCGCCTTACTCGTCTGTTCTTTTTTGCTTTGTTAACAGCCTTCATTTCCAGTGTTAGTACGAAGTACAGTACATGTACCCGGAGAAACATTGGACGTTTTACAGAGCCACACAATAAGTTTCTTAATTCTAACTTTTCTAGTATAAGACTCATCCATCATCGTTCCACCGGTGTTGATGAAAATAACCTCTGTCTTATCTATTTAATGAGTGTACAGGTCTTGCCTGGGAAATTCAGGTATATAACTTCGATTCAACTTGTAAAGTGATTACTGGGCAATATATTTCATAAAAAAAATAACAAAGAACAGACCAACCGCCAGAATGTCCAGTAAACTGTAAAGATGTGAAATAATTAGTCGAAGTCTAAATTCAAAATTAAATCCATTAAAAAAATTCTTGCACTTTCACACTCAGGCGAGAACAACCGAGAGCTAGGACGCCAAATGTAAACACTGACATGCATGACTCTCGCCAGTACAGTAGTGATACTCTGCACGTACTCGGGTCGGCTGAAAGGGAGCCAGTACATTTTAACATAATTATCTGTCTCTGTAAGTATGAGTTGTAATGCTTGAACACTTGTCTATGAACAGTACTGCCACCGGAAGTAGTTATTCGATTTCCTGAATTTTTTTCCTCATATTCTCATCATTATGTTAAGTATTTTTGTATGATAACACCACAATCACTAGCAGGAGTGGTTCGACTTCGTTCATTTTTTCCACGTGTTCATATTATTATAGTAAGTATTTTAAAAGAGGCGACAGTAATTTTACTCCACATTTTCCCTTTACTTCAAAGCCCGTAAAATTGCAGATTACAACAACCAAAGAATCTGATAAAAAGATGTTACCTAACCTAACCTAACTATCGATTGAGTGTAGTGAATTGCCGGAATTCTGTGGTTGCTGTTTACTGCAATATTACCCAAAGTCCTGTCCACTTTGAACAACTAATATTGGTTAAATTTGCATTTTCAGCCCCAACTACTGTTTCACCATAAATTCTTGTTTTTGCCAAGGTATTTGGGCTGATTCATACGAATTGGACCTTCTTTCCTTCCTAAATGAGTGGTTACTGAGTTGTCACCCCTCCCCCATCCCCTCCAACAATCTTTGCGGATCTGTGGGATATCGTGGGTTTTGGGTGGGGGAGAGCAAAAACGGAGGCTAATAGACAGCCAATCCAACCTAACCTAACCGAGTTGGAGCTGAAACTGCAATAATACCTAATATTGTTGGTAATTTTGTTCTTTAAAATACTCTAAGAATATTAATTTTCGATGGAAATGCTATGGAATAAATTATTTTTAGTTTTTCCTCTTTCTCCTTACATAAGACTCAATATATAAGTACCGGGTAGGTGTTAGCAACTACTAAATAGTAACCCCACAATTTCCTTCATCCTTCATGCACTGCTCACTACAGGTGATTTATGATCGTTGATTGAGAAAAATTCAAATAAATTAAAAAGTACTTATAATTAAATGAAAAGTTGTTGCCTCTTAAAATACTTACCATGATGGTAAGAACATCTGTGGAAAAAAAATGAACGACATTGAACTAATCTTCTGGTGATAGAGTTTTCTTCATAAAGTACCAGTACCGTACAGTATTTTAAAAGAGGCAACATTTACTAGAACCTAATAGAACCTGAGAACCAACCAAAGAAACCAACATAACTTTACCTAACTTTCTAACTGGGGGGGGTGGGGGGCAGACCCCCTGCCATATTAATCAGAAAGTACGTATCTTGATATCTGTTAGAAATGAAAACAACTTTGTTGAAGTGTCATGGTGTGATTTTACATTTTTTGTGGACATTATAGTATGTTCGGACCGAGTGGATCGGTTGTAAACAAACTGAGCAGACGACAACGAGCGATGACATGGCAGATTTTGGGGAGAAGTATTTACAGTAAATAATTAATTTCCTCACGTACCAAGCACATAGAGATTATTTAGTGTCATATGATCAGTTTTGCACTGTTTTACCCCACAATTTCCCTCATCCTTCATGCCCAGCCCACTATAGGTGATTTATGATTGTAGATAGAGAAAAAAATTCTTATAATTTAAATAAAAAGTTGTTGCCTCTTGTAAAAGTCAATTTATAGTAGTGCACCGTTCTTTCTGTCTTTTTATATTAGGGCGCCGTTCATTCCTTCAGTGTTAGAAATGTTTTTCCTAATGTTTAGACAATTCTAAGACATTTTTCTTCTATGATATTTCTAATACCGAAAGAAATGCAACGTAACGTATTATGAAGTAACTTAACCTACCCCTTTTCTGTGCAAAAAACAAACAATCATAGAAAATTACCAAAAACCAACCCAACCTAACTTAATTCATCCTAACCTAACCTTAATTTCTGACAAAAATATCATAGAACGTCATTCTCTTTTGTCGGATCTCCAGTATGGCTTTCGCCAGGTGAGATTTACTGGTGATCTGCTCTCCTATTGCACCCATCTTCAGGGGTAGAAATTCGCCTTTTTTTCAGGTATCCAGCCGGACTAATAGAACCGTATAGTTACTAGCCCTTCCAAAATTTTACGAGACATTAAAAAACATTCAAATTTCAATAGTTGACATATACTGGGTAGGCCTCCTAGAAAGTTGTTTACTTTGACTCTTTATTCAACTTAAGAGCAAAAGGTAAATTAAATTCAAATTGCAAATACAGTACTGGCATGCACAACATATTATTATAATATGGATAATCTGTTTTCTTGTTTACTTTGTATCATTAGCTGAAATTTATAAACAATTTTAGATCCTCTTAAAACACTACTGTACTGTTTGTATATGTAACTGCAAGTAATTGAGGGCTTTCTTCTTTACTGGATTTGGTCAATAAGTTTCTGTATATGCTCCTCGTCCAATTCTTCGATATCGTCCAGCACTTCCTCTGTGCTGCAGCCATCTGTGTGGTTATACCCATCAACATGGGTGGCCCAAGTTGTTAAAAATCTGTTGATGGCTAGCTCTGGATTGAAGTTGCTAACACATTCTGACTGCAACTGGACCACATGGAGATTTCTCAAGTGGTCATCGGTGAGGCGACTGCACCAGTCTATCTTGATGAGCTTGACCTGACTGAAGCCATGTTCAGCATCAGCAGAACTGGTTGGAATGGACAGCAGGTCAACGAAATGGAGAAAGGAGCCACACTTTTTTCTGTATGATTCATTTCTTTGCTGCCAGGACAGTTTTGAAACAGGTGATATCTTACTCATTTTGTAGAGATAGCATTTGAGTACAGCCCATTCATCCTCCATCTTGGTTGGATCCACTTCTGCCTCTATGTTTTCTCAAAGAGTATGAGCCAGCTCTCCCACAGCGGTGTCTCCGAAACCTTCATTCCCTGTGTATTCTGCAGGCCACAGCTTGAAATCCAGAATCCATGAATTTTGCAGAACTGTACTGACCATGTCAATAATTTTTTTCTTTAAACTTGAAATCAGAGATGTCAGCATATCATGCCTTGCAGCCATGAAGGCACTATTTCTATCACCCAGTTTTTCTCCTTGGAATATGGTAGTGTCACCTTCCAAAATCTTCCTGGGCTTGTTAAATATTTATTGAGTAAGTCAACTGTGGCCTGAATTTCATTCATGATAGCAGAAACATTTGTTTGTCTGTGTTGAAACTGCTGTGAAAGGCGCCCAAGGCAACGCAAGATATCCAGGAGGAGGTGTATGTACATATACTTGATTACATCAGCACTGGTTAGAAGCATTGGATAGTTCTTAGCTTTTCTGGATGAGTCCTTGTGGTATGCAGGGTTCTGTATCTGCTGCATGTGAAGTACAATAGCCTTGTAACTCTTTTGTAAATTTTGTAAAACTTGTACCACCCACACGTGTTGGAACCAGAAATGGTAGCTGACATATTTCACAAGCCCTCTTCACCATGCTCCTGTTGAGATAACTATTTTCATAGATTAGGTATATTCCTAGCAACAGTAGGTCAACCTTCTTGGCAAGTGGTAGATCCTTCACTGCATCCTTGTAAGCCAGTTCAAGTTTATTTGCAGTGCGGTGAATACCTTCCAACTCTGACCGCTCTAAATCACTTTTCAACCGAGCTCTCAAGCCATTTTTGCAACCTGTCATAATAACACTGGCCCCATCTGTACCACTACCAACAAGCTTCTTCCTCCAAGTGTCACCATAATATGAATCTAATATACTGTTGATTGTTCATATTGACGCTGCTGCTCTAACTTTTCTTCATTGTTTTTTTGTTTTTTGCTTGGTGTTGGACTAATATTCTTCCACATATCAAACAATTCCCTTTGGCGACTCACGGTGATTAATAATAATGTCTGTTAGTTAAACATCATGTCAGTACTGTATGGAGGTATTAATTGCACTGAGATCGCTGACTTCCTGGGAGCAGTAATGGCTCAACCAAGGTGGGCGCAACGACCAAATACGCGGGTTTCACGCTTGCAACACATGTTTGCTTTTGCAATGCTTTTTATAAACTGGGCACTAAACACTTCCTTATGGTAAAGCATTCTCAAAAATAAAAATTTTTGTTCAAAACTACTGCATAGCTCCTAGGCACTGCAAATTTGACATGCTAGTCGTCTGCCGGGCGATTAAAAAACAGTAAATTTCCAAGATCTACTCACCTTTCTGATATTTTGGTCGCCTCAGGTGGCCGGGTGTGTGTGAATTTCTACCCCTGCATCTTTGGTCATCCTCTCATAGGGATTCTGGGGAAACTTACGTCGTGGCCCTCGACATCTCCAAAGCATTTGACAGGGTATGGCACAAGTTTTTGCTTTCTAAACTTCCCGCTTTTGGTTTCTCTCCCCCACTTTGCTTCCTTATCTCTAGCTTCCTTGAGAACCGATCCATGGCAGTTGTTTTCGAGGGATCTCTCTCTCTCTCTTTCTCTACCAATAGTGGTGTCCCACAGGGTTCTGTTCTTTCACCTACTCTCTTCCTTCTTTTTATCAATGATTTACTTCACACTACAACTAATTCTATCCATTCTTACGCTATGATATAGTGAGATTTTAAACATTGTTCTCTAAGTACATTATGCACATAGAAGGTGTTTCGACTAACATACATTTTCATCTCAAGAACGTCCTCAGGAATGTAACCTGTTCGTAACCCGGGGACCCCCTGAGTACTAGTGATTTAGAATTTGGGGGGTACAAATTATTTGGGTGTTACTGTATGTGTTGCTGCCAGTGGCTGTATATCACATAGATTGTTGTGTAAATTTCTTAAAAGGTCAGCATCTACCATGTGTTCCGGGGTAACTTAATCTTAGTTATGGAGATAGAGAGGAAAATCTAGCCGTTCTAAAACTATACTGTATACCAAGAAAATGTGTGCCAGTATTCTATGTATGATCTTCAAAAGTTAATGGACCAATATTTACATGGTAAATCAGAATATAGTTATTCCTGGTTGATACATAAGCTTGAGACAAGGTATGGACAAACCCTTGTTTTAATATCCCTCAGTGGTTTGCCCAATGTGTTCTGCTTTCCAGACAAAGATTTGGGTATCATCAAGAAGTAAATACTGTATTGTTAATTCCCCAATCATACAACTGTATTACTATGCCAAGTATTATGTAATTTACTATGTTATAACATCTTTCATATATTTCCCCATTTGGCAGTCTTCGCAAGTAAAAGTCTTCTGAAATGTGCCAGTTTTCACCATTTTTTGGAAACACATAATTTTCACGAGATACCTTAACAGGTCCCTTTTCTACCAAAATATCGATTGTCGTGGTGTCCAGTAAATGTAGCCAGTTGGCTGAATCACATAGATCTTCATCAGCATGCCCGTTAGCATAGGTAGAACTGTCCATTTTAAAAGCCTTAGCATTTTTTTAGTACTTTCCTCTTCCTCGGCTTGAATATGACCAACACTATCACCATCACAGTCGCTCAGGTCTTTTTTTGCACTAGTTTTTGGTGTTTCTGAAAACACATTTTTCTAGGGAACCTTTCATTGACATTTTGATTTCTTCTCTCTTCCTTTTTTCTGCATTTTCCTCTACACCCAAGATGTATTTTCTGTATCTGTCTCTATCCCTGCTGGCCATGGTATAATAAAAAACGAAGGCTGTGTCCGAGAGTAAAATAATGTATATCAACAATTTCACAAAACACAAATCACGGACAACTGGAGATTCAGAATTTGGACAACACTGACAGGTGACCTCACTCCTCTTCGACAGAGAACACAGTAAAGAATGACATTGTTCTCAGTCACCAGATGCATTGCCTAACTGTGCTGGTCATTAATCATTCAGGTGGTCTCCTGAATCTGGGTGGTAAGGTGAGGTCAGCTTAATGCTGTCACTAATTCTGGTGTTGGGTGAGGTAAGGGCAACGGGGTAGCGTGGGGCCCGGGGCAGTTGCACCGGTTTCCATACCCTAGGGATGGCTCTGCTTGTGTGGAAAATGAAAAAAGTGATCATAGTGTTGGATATATTTTCAGCCCTTTCACTATCCCTGCATTGGATTGTATGGAGTAGAGCGGCTGAACATATTCTTTTACTGGTAGGTCATGCTGGCCTTATATTTAGACCTAAAAGATCCTGATTGGACAGCCATGATTTTGAGAATCAGTTATTGATTCATCTCAATAGAAAGATTTGTAAATAAACATGTGTAATACTGTGTTAATCTCAATAGAAGGATTTGTAAATAAACATGTGTAATACTGTGTTAATCTCAATAGAAAGATTTGTAAATAAACATGTGTAATACTGTGTTAATCTCAATAGAAAGATTTGTAAATAAACATGTGTAATACTGTGTTAATCTCAATAGAAAGATTTGCAAATAAACATGTGTAATACTATGTGTTAATCTCAATAGAAAGATTTGTAAATAAACATGTGTAATACTGTGTTAATCTCAATAGAAGGATTTGTAAATAAACATGTGTAATACTGTGTTAATCTCAATAGAAAGATTTGTAAATAAACATGTGTAATACTGTGTTAATCTCAATAGAAAGATTTGTAAATAAACATGTGTAATACTGTGTTAATCTCAATAGAAAGATTTGCAAATAAACATGTGTAATACTATGTGTTAATCTCAATAGAAAGATTTGTAAATAAACATGTGTAATACTGTGTTAATCTCAATAGAAGGATTTGTAAATAAACATGTGTAATACTGTGTTAATCTCAATAGAAAGATTTGCAAATAAACATGTGTAATACTGTGTTAATCTCAATAGAAAGATTTGTAAATAAACATGTGTAATACTGTGTTAATCTCAATAGAAAGATTTGTAAATAAACATGTGTAATACTGTGTTAATCTCAATAGAAAGATTTGTAAATAAACATGTGTAATACTGTGTTAATCTCAATAGAAAGATTTGCAAATAAATATGTGTCTTCTATTTTTATCTTTAGTTAAATAGTTTTTTTTTATAATTTACTGTGGATTTATTTTAATACAGTGGTCCCTCGGTTAACGAACGGTTTGATTAACAAAATTTCGGTTAACGAATTACCTCCCATAAGGATCTTCAATTCGGTTAACGAACAAAACTTCGATTAACGTAATCCTTACGACAAACACGTTTTGTTGTGAGCATCAGCTGATGGGCTAGTCTGCCTATTCAGTAATCTGTTCTATGTTTTCATTCGTTTCCAGTGGAGTAAATATCAAGAAAGTTGCACTCTTTTATTATTTTTTGCATTTTTTATATTAAAATTATTAGTCATTTTAAAATTTAGTTAACATATTCATAATATATGCAGTACAGGGAACTAGTTTTTTGTGCCCCCATCAGCCCCTTGACTCATCCACTAGGTGTTAGTTTGGCTTTGTTTACAGTGGAGTGAACATCGATTTTGTTGGTGTCTTGAATAATTTTGCATTTTTACATTAAAATTATTGGTCATTCTGAAATTTAGTTAACATATTGATAATATATAGCACAGTGCAGTGTTGATTTAAATAAAATAATCTTGAATTATACCAAGTGAACTTAAAATTTTATTGGTGAAATTACTGCATCAAGCATGGGTCCCCTGAAAGGTGATTTCTCCTCCATTCCCACTTCCTTCTCTTCTCCCTTCTCCTCCACCCCCACTTCTAATTCCCTTCATCATCATCAACCAGGAACCTTCTACATACACACCTCAAAGTAAGTGTACTTTACTGCGTTTTTTTTTTACTTTGTATTTACTTTTCTGTGAGCTGGAACCAATTACAGTACCCAATATCCCATTGAAACAATGGATTCGGTTAACGAAATTTTTGGTTGACGAACGACTCTGTGGAACGAATTGTGTTCGTTAACCGAGGGACCACTGTATTTGAGACAATTAAAAAATTTGTTGTTTCATTTTACTTTCAGTACCTGAGTACTTTATGAATGAGATGCTTTTTTTACTTCTGATTGAGTATATTGAACTTTGGATACTTTTACTTCTACTTCTACTTCAGTTACATTTTGCTAATGTAACAATACTTTCACTTAAGTAACAAAGTCTGGTACAGAAAAATGGAATGACTCCAATCAGTCTTGGATTTTATATATACAGTATAGTCTCAATTTACGCGGATTTCCTTTACGCGGTTGGTCATTTACGCGGCACCTGGTCAGACGCGGCAATTACTAGTTACGCGGTACATTCCATCATTTACGCGGGAAGCGGCGCTGGCAGGGTGCGCGCTAGGTTACCCAGTCAACAAAACATTACCGAGTTCTTCACCCGCCACCCACCACAGCCAGCCCAAGTCAGTGATAGTGACAGTGAGGATATGGACTTTGAGGGGTTTGACAAAGAGGCCCTGCTAGCCTCTGTGGTGGATAGTGATACAGGTGAGGGCCAATAATCTGCCCTCTGCCTCGAAACCAACCCCTCATCCCCGTGTGCCCAGCCACTTCTACTAACGTAAGTGTTAAAAAACCTAATATTATTGATATTTCTCTTAAATATTAATTTTGTTTGCATACCATCATAAAATTAAGATGTTATTTTTACTACAACGTACGTATTGTGTCGGAAAAAGGGTAGTATGGCGGTCGGCTCAGTCTCTATTTCAATTAATCCCATATGTTCTGTTATTTTGTTTACGCGTTTCTCGTTTTATGCGGACCTCCATGGGTTTAATTGACAGTGTAAAACGAGACTATACTGTAATGTATTAGAGGTTTTTGTACTAAAAGAGTGAGTTTGATGATGGATTTGGTAAGTTTGGTGACTAATATGACTACAGTGGTATATTAACTGACAGAACAGGCTCTTTTATTAGATTATTTAAAGATTTATGTTAAAGGTTTACTATAGACCACCCACCACTGTGTGCTGTACTGTACTGATGACTCTCTTAATGTTTCAGTGATGAGTCATGACAGTGACAGTCAAAGCAGAACATGTGTATCAGGAGCCAGTGGAGGTTGTAGCAGTTACTCATCTTAGCAAATATCCAAATGAGTATGACCCAAATATCCTTTCCTGTGCTGTCTTAGAGAGAAAAATAGACGGAGATGGACAGACATACACAAAGAGAGTAGCTGCTGTTCGAAATGTTTTGCCTTCAATCTTTAGAAGGGTAGGTCCCATTTTACTTAACCTTAGTGTTATGGATGATGATGATAATATGTTCTAATATATTTTCTATTATATTCAGTACATTCATCATGCAAGTTTATAATTTGATTACCATGTACAGCATATAAACTATGCAGGCACACGGCTCAGCATGTTTGTATACCAGTGGTTCCCAAATTGGGGGGGGGGGGTGCAAGGTTGGTAAGGGGTGGTGAGGCCATATAAAAAACATCTACCTGTACTGTATACTATTCACATCCTTTTTTCTTTATAATGAAATTTTCAATAAAATTCTTAGTATATTTCAATTTTCCCCTATGCATGAGATACGTGGATTAAATAATTACCAGCTAGTTGATCTTGAAAGTACAGTATACAGCTACTCCTCGACTTCCAATCTACTCGACATATGACCACCCGCACATACGACCGCTGCAGTCAGTACCAAAATTTTTTCAAATGATGTGCGTATTTTCTAGGAACGAAACGTTTCCGTCCCGTACAAGAGCATCGCGTGGGCTGGATCGCCTCGTGGCTACAGCATCCACGCCGTAGAGCGCTCAGTTGGTGTTTGGCTGTTGTTGTTGTCGGTATTGATCACGCTGTGTACTGACAATATTTTCGTTTCTAATTCACTTTAGAATGACTGGCAAGCATAGAAGTGAGAGTTCTGGTGGTGCTCAGAAGAAAAGGAGCCAGTCAGTTACTTTTGAGATGAAAATGAAGATAATAATGCAATATGAAAATGGAAAAACGGTAGCAACCATTTCACGCGACCTAGGCTTCTTTCACTCGACGATATCGACAATTTTGAAGGACAAGGAACGAATTCGTGAGGTAGTGAAAGGATCAGCACCTATAAAGGGTACAATAATAACGAAAAAAAGACACAATCCTATTCATGAGATGGAAAAATTACTTGTGATATGGATGGAAGATCAAATACAAAAGCGTGTACCCTTAAGCCTTCTTACCATACAGGCTAAGGCAAGAAGCCTTTTCGAAAGCCTGAAGGTGCTGGCAGGAGATGAGTGCGACCAAACCTTCACAGCAAGTCATGGGTGGTTCCAAAGGTTTTAGAACCATTACAATTTGCATAGTGTAAAGGTAAGTGGAGAGGCAGCAAGTACCTAGATCGTGTCATCGTGGAGGGAAATTATTTGCCTGAGCAAATATTTAATGTGGATAAAACTGGCTTATTCTGGAAGCGCATGCCAGAACAGACATACATCCACAAAGAGGAGAAAACCATGCCGGGATTCAAGGCTTTCAAGGACCGAATCACACTTCTGTTGGGGGGGAATGTAGCTGGTTTCAATATAAAGCCCTTCATGATATATCATTCAGAGAACCCAAGGGCTTTTAAACATGTCAGCAAGCACACACTGCCAGTGTTTTATCGCAGTAATAAGAAAGCATGGATGACCCTCGTACTGTTTGAGGATTGGTTCCTGACTTGTTTCATTCCACGAGCCAAGGAGTATTGTCTGCAACAAGGGATTGCGTTCAAGATTTTATTAATTTTGGATAATGCTCCGGGACACCTACCACACCTGGACGACCTGCACCCTGATGTTAAGGTAGTCTACATTCCACCTAACACTACCTCCATCATCCAACCCATGGATCAAGGTGCTATTGCTGCTTTTAAAGCGCATTACTTACGTACGACCTTCTCTCAGGCTGTTGCTGCTACTGAAGGTGAGAAAACGCTCCGAGAGTTTTGGAAGGACTACAACATTTTGAAATGTATAAAGAACATAGCTGCAGCATATAACTTGCATTGCTGGAATCCTTGTAAGATAGTGATTAATTTGAGTATAAACTTCACATAGTTTGCACGAAAGATAAAAACTTTGGTCCTTTAGTGTTGTACATTTGAATACAAAGTGTGTACAGTACAGTAATATGTTACTCAAAATCATGGCTTTTTCACATTTAATTTATACCCTGGATTTAATATTTATTTAATTTAAGTTTCTAGCAGTCCATGGTGCTTTAGAGGCACAGGAGGTGTATAATTAGTGGGTCAGAGGTGTATTATTGAATTATTATTACGTGACCTCAGTTGGTCCGGCAAAACGGATAATCCGGCAAGTCTTTGGAACCAAGGGTGCCGGAAAATCGGTGGTGAACAGTATTTTCTTTTGATGGCTTTCTTGGATTTGTGATTCGTCTGGTCTGTACTTCCTTTCTCTCTTCCTGATATCTAAGGCACACATTCTATTAGTGCTACCTCAAGGATTTCTATAAATTTTTGCCATGACTCTTCTCTATCTGTTTCTTTCTTATAATATTCCCTGGGTTAGTCTTTGTAGTTTTACCCTCATGTGCTGGTAATTCTCATGGTTTATTATCAGTACAGGGGGCCCCCAAAATTCGCGGGGGTTAGGTTCTCAAAATGGCCGCGAATCTCCAAATCCGCCAATAACATTTGCGGACTGGGGGAGGGGGGTGTACATTTTTACTTGTGTACAGTACAAATAAATGTATATTCCGTTTATGTGTTTGCCCTTATGACAATTATTTCTTTTACCTGTAGTATTGTATATGTGTGTGTGTAGACACACAAACATACAAAACACATGCAAATAAATAATAATTGGAAAATCCTCTCACAATTAATCAGAAACAAATTTCTTAAAAAATGTGGCAGTCTACCCTCAAGTTTGTGCCCTATTAGTAAAGTACACCCACCTCTCCTTTTACGCATGGGTTTCGTTCCTGAAAACCACCCCTTAATTAAAAAATGTGTAAAACATAATTTTCCCATAAGAATACATGTAAATGGTACAGGTTAGGGGAACCATCATATACCATACAGGGTATGAACAGTGCTCTCACTTACACCAAGCACGAGGCCAACCTCTGACACACGCTCTCCTCTCTGAAGGCGGGTGATCACATTTAATTTCACGTCCATTGCGATTGTTTTTAGTTCCTTTTTAGCTTTAGGCGCCCCAGAGGAGGCAGAAGGACATTTTCCAGACATGCTCAATGGGGAAAACAGCGTTTAACACTAAAGAGGTACGTGATAAACACACAATGCAAATGAGAGCACAGAAGAAAGTAGTGCTGGTGTAAACTTAGAAAGCGATACGCAGGAAGCTTGCTGGACGTCGTCACAGTTGTTGTACAGAGTACTTCAGTGTCATCATTATCTTCATCATTAGTAGTTATAATCTTTATTATTACATTATTATGATAATTATTATTATTAATAATAATATTAAAATCGTTAATGTTGATATGACTGCGACTTTATAGTAATAACTTAAAAGCACCTCACCAGGCATCACACGCGACTCCACTGCCAGGCGACCTGGCGAATACGAGCGGCAAATTTAAACTGTCTTGAGCGCGTTATTTCGAAAATAGGTGAGCGTATATTAGCTTTTGGTATTAATTGAACAATCGTGTTGTTCCAAAAACGCTTAAATCAAATGCACATAAAACGTGAGTTACCTGTACTGTAATAGAGCACGGACTTGAGGGTAGACTCACATTTTTAATAAATTTGTTTCTGTTTATTTGTGAGAGTATTTTCCCATTACTGTATTATTTATTTGTATATATTTTGTGTGTGTGTGTGTGTATGTTAAGACACACACACATATTTACAATAAGGTAAAGAAAATTACGGTCTCTAGAACGAACGGCTCCCTGTCCCAGCCGCGAAAATGCCAGCAACTTTAAAACTACGCACAGACATTCTTGGTACATCCAGGGTGTCATCCGCGAATAACCAAGAACCGCGAAGTAAAAATCCGCAAACTTGGGGGGGGGCCTGTATCATTATCACCATTTTATGTCCATTTTCCATGCTTCTGTGGGTTAACCATGATGTAATGGTTGCTGTCACACAAATTTTGAACAAGTTATATGGCTGGCTACCCTCCCTATTGCCAACCCACTTTTACATAGTGAGAACAGGCCATTTTATGTATGATTGCCAAGTGTCCTCTTAGCTGGCAAGACAGGGTTGCAACTCCCTGAGGCAATTAAAGATTTCCTGCCTGTCTATTAAAGCAGTAGCTAAAGATTACATGGTCCGTTAACTCACACAGCGGACAGCCAGAGATAGAGTATATGTGATAGAATGAGTATTTATGGAATTGAAAGAATTACAGTATAATATTAGTTTGAGGACACGTCAATTATCATTAACAAAAAAATAAATGCTTCTTGGACTGAAGGAGAAAGTGGACATTATATTCTGTGTTTAGTTCCCTTAATAAAGAACAGTGGTGAATATGCAGTATGTTAGGAATTTATTTAATATTGTTTTTCAGGTAAAAAGTTTGCAAGTAGATCATTTTGAATTGCAAGAGGAAAGTTGGTACGACAGAAGACTCAGGAAATTAAGTGTTCGATCTCATAACATTTCTGTTTCTGATTGGATCACCATGAGAGAAGCTTCTGTTTATACACCTCATCAACAGAACCCAAATTGGTAAGAGTGTTATAATTTTATGACCTAACTTCTTTCAAGAGTAACTGGTGTATATGCCTGATAGTCTTTTTGTAATGAACTCAGGGAAACCTAAGCAAAGATGGCTGAGGCTAATCTGAAGAGTAAATACAATTACAGTACCACTGAAAGCTAAGGGTTAAGGAGCCATGGAGCTACACAGTAATGCACAGTCTCTGCTTTCCACTTGACAAAACCAATCATTGAGTGGGATTATGGGATTATAGAATTGCTCTCACTCCAGCTGTTCCTCTCAACTGGGTCATAATGGGTCTGCCATTACTTTCTTCCATATAGAGGACCCAAAATATCTATACAGTATTGTATTGCACTATATCGGTAGTCATGGCAGAAATGTCCATAAATGGGATGAGTGTCCATCTTCAGTCTGTTTGCCACAGATTGTGTAGAACTTGCATCATCCATATGCATAAAAAATAATGGACCTAAAATTTTTTGCTGTAGAAAAATACAGTTACAGTAAACTCCCTTTAACTTTGGGTTCCTTTGCAAACATTACTAGGGTCCAGCTCCGGACACATGGATCCCCTTCCCGCAAAACACAACCCAAATCTGGTTAGTATAGGAGAAATTTTGCTTAAGCTGGAGCTGCCACTGTGATGGAACACAGGAGGGTAACTCGACAGCTGCCTCTGACAAGGCAATTGGAGGTAGTTGCTGAGGAGCACCTAAGTGAAGTGTCTAAGAAATGTAAATAGTGTACAGTATAGACAATCAATGAAATTAGCAGTGAAAACATAATCTTTACTTCATCTTTAGTGATGTACTTTGTGAGTGTCTTACAATCACCTGCCTCAACTACCTCCTTAACTTAAGATTCAACCAACTCATGATAAATGAGTGTCTTGCAACCTCTCTCATCAGGTTCATATCTCTGTGGTCATTTCTTATAACCTCTTCCCATGTCATTCTTATTCTCACTCTCCTCCCCTCCATATTCAAACTCATGCATCTCTTTACCCCATTGGTCTCCCAAGTTCTCCACTTGTCCGAACTATGTCAATCTGTCTCTACGCAAAGCTTCACCAACACAGTACAGTACTATCAATACCCAGCCACCCCCTTAGCTCTGAACAGGGTTTCCTTTCTTTCAGTGTCATAATGCACATCCACCTCAGCATTCTCATTTCAGATTGCTCAAGCCTGCATATGGCATCCTCTTTAACTACCCACATTCCACTACCTTACAACATCAAAATTTCTCACGTTGGATGCATGCCCTTTCCTTTCACACAAAGACACTTTCCATTTGCCTTCAATGAAGGCAGCAGCTCCCTAAACTTCCCCCAGTTACTTCTGACTTTTACAATTGAACTACCAGCTTCATCACCACCTACAGCATTGATCATATCACCCAGATAGCAGAACTCATCATCACAGTCCAGGGATGTATCCCCAGTGTTGAGTTTCTCCAGCCCTGCTAAGGCCACATGAATGCCTGTGTAGACAGTGCACCTAAAGTCAGCAACATTCTGTTATCTGCCATTTACACCACTGCACCTTTTATGTGTCTACCTTCCACATTCCCATGATAGTGCCACAAGCACCATGATAAACTGAAGGGACTCAAGACAGACCCTTGATGAACCTCTTACTTTTACCTCAGATTCTTAGCTTACTCTCACAGCAATTCTTGGGCCCTCATACAGTGCCATAACCATTTGAACAGGACACTCCTTGATCCCTAACTTTCTCATTGCTCATGTGGCACCCTGTCAAATGCCTTCTCTAAGTCTACAAATACAAATTACAGATCTCTCTCCTTCCCTAGATATTTCTCTTGTAGTTGCCTGGCCATAGATATTGGCTCTGTTGTCCCCCAATCTGACATGAACCCAAACAGCATTTTATTAATTGATTGATTGATTGTGTTAATTACTTCCCTGGAAATGCAGCATCTTATTAATGTGTACTCTCTCCCATAAAGTGGTTCAAATGTATAGAATTGTTTAGTAACCAATTATGGGAATAGTAATTTTTGTATCAACACTATGCCATTTGCCAAGGAAGAGACATACATATTAAAATATCTTAAAATACTACCGGGTAATCAACACAAGAAGATACAATTTACAATGATTAACTTTTCAGGACAAACTTTGAGCAGGAAGGAACCATCACTGTTCATGGATTAGGAAGACTTGGCTGCCTTATTGAGATGTTTGGCAAGAGGTAATGTTCTGTTTTATTTTCACTATCTACATATTCATGTTGAGGAACAGCTTCAAAAAGCCTCATGATTAAAAATCAAGTGTTTAAATTAATAAACAAGTTATCAGTCAGAAAAAGAATGTAAAACTTGAGTTTGTGTTTGTCAATTTATTCTGAATTTATGATGAGTGTAACAAAGTGTAAAAAAAAATTATGTAAATTCTTTACACAGCTTGATTTGCCTGAAAATTTCTCATTTCCATGTTATAGTATTTTACTTTCACACACAGTTCACTTATACAGTAAACCCTCGCACTTCCGGACGATTAGGGGGGGAAAGGGTGTCTGGATGAGCGCTAATGTGCGGATGAACCGGGGAACAAATGCTCATTTACTTAATCTTATGGGAAAAATTGGGATATGTTCCACAACTACTAAAAGTCAACAGTAATGCTATAAAAGCTTTGGAAAAATCATTACAATATTCTTATGTGGGTTAGAAATAAAGATAATACAGTAGAAGTCCAAAAATCCGGACTGCTTGGGGATTGGGTCTGTCCGGATTTTCGGATTTTCCGGATTCTCAGGCAGTACTTGTAAAATTAAAATTTAAGGAGGAATTAAGAAGAGATGAACAGGTACATTTTGATAGTTTATTCATTAGCAAATAAAGCATGCTTCATTTATCAAAACGAGCAGTTTTAAAGAAAAATAAAGTCAACACTAGACAAAAATGTAAACAAACTGTCTAATACCATGACGAATCTTGAAATTCCTAAGCCATCCATCACTAAATGCGCACTCTGATTCAATGTTCATTTGCTCCTTAAAATACTTTGCTTTGGCAATAAGCATCGGCCCAGAAATTGCCATACCTTCTGATCGTTTTAACAAAAACCATTCGTGCAACACTTCATCAAGATTTTCTAATTTGGGCCAATGTAAACTTTTTCTTTCAGCAATTTTAATGTAAAGCTCAGAAGAAGCTGTGAATTCTAGAATTTTATTCTTTGCCTTTTTTATATCATAAATTGTAGACTTTCCAATGTTGTATGTTTCCATTAGAACAGCATTGCTCACATTACATTCTAGTTTCTTAATTATTTCAAGTTTGTCACTAAATTTCAATGTGTTCTTCTTTCTCTTCACACAACGAAGTTTATCTACTTTAGGGGCCATTATTATGGGCTTGTACTCTGTACATGGAAAGAGTAGGACTCAAAATTACATACGTTGTCACAGTTTGATTGCTTGTTTTAAAGTGGCGATCGTGTGGTCGTTTGTTGTCGCTGTGCAGCTGTGGCATTCACGCATGCACACATACACACAAAAGATTTATAGTGCCTCAAATTTTACATTTCAGTTCAAGCTAATTACAAAACTAACAAAATTAGCTACCTATAATTTACAATTACTTTTATTATTAGAATTATGTAAATTAATTTTTTAAAGCAACTCCATTCATTCACATAACCCACAAAAGCCCGCTAAATTTAAAAAGTTTGAGTTTTCGAAAAGTCCGGATTCTCGGGTGGTCCGGATTCCTGGCATCCGGATTTTTGGACTTTTACTGTATATTAAAGAAATATAAAATATTATATAAAACTATAAACTGAGTCATATGAAGAACATGGGTGTTTGTGTGAGTGGCTGACTCGCCACTCCAGTCGCGTCTCGTGACATCACATATAGCGCAGTAGACACACACACACACACTGTGCCACATTTCACAACCATTTCTGGAGCATTAATGCTATAAAAGTTGTAGAAAAAGCATTAAAATACTCTAATGTGGCTTAGAAATAAAGATTATATAATATAAAACTATAAAATAAGAAAAAATAAAGAACATGGCTGTGTGTGAGTGGGTGTAATGTGAGCCACTTGATAACTGAGGACATGAGGAACTCTCCCTCCCTCTACCTCCAACTCTCCCTCCCTTATTGTGACATCACATACACACACACATCATTTATATAGGAGTTTGGTGTTAATACAGGAAAACCAAAAATACAGTGCAATACGTACTGGATTTTACAGCAGGGAGTATTTAGGGAAAAAATATATTTATGCATTTTCCTACTGTAACCATAGTTTTCTTAAAATAATATATACAGCACCAGGAAATGCGAGGAATAAATAAAAATGATACCAATAAATAAGTTACAACAAAAAATACTGTGTTGCCAAACCAGTAAATAAAAGCCAAATGAAAGTTTAATACAGTTGCCATTTGCATACATTCCCTGCTTCCCCATTGTAATGAAGATCAGCCTTCCTTCACTCTGTGCTCTCATCCCATTATGTGTTTGCCCTTAGGACAATTATTTCTCTTACTTTTTTCACAATATGCACCGTATTTTGCGGCGTAGAAGACACTGCATCGTGGAAGACACACCCTGATTTTGGAAATGTATCGTAATTCTAGGAAAAAACTTTTTATACTTACTAACTTTGTTCCTGTTCGCAAACTTAAGCCATTTCATTTCATGAAGCGAAAACACCATCAAGCAGTTCCTTTGAAGTCATCCACCCCTGTGTTTGCTGCATACCTTCTTGTTTCGTAGTCACCGCCAAACCCAAGTTTCTTTGGTCTAATATCCATGTTTTCAAGTTTTCTTCTACGTATAGCCATTTTGCTGGTACTGTACGAAGATTATGCTTCTGTTTATTCGCTTTTTTTAATTCTTCCTTCTGCTTCCTCCACTGGCAAATCATCTTCTCAGTAGGTGGTGGTCTGAAGTTTCTCTCTGTTACCCTGTTTCCATGTTCTTTGGCATATCGCACTACTTCAAGTTTAAATGCAATATTACATTTATGTCTCCTTGATACACCTGCCATAGATGAGGGAGATAATTTGCAGGAATGAAAATAGCTTGTGACATCAGTGAAGGCCTGGTAGTGATTGAACAAAGTTCTAGACACTTAAGTGTGAAGAAACAAAAATTCCTGCGCTTTGAGACCAGCAGACAACCTTTCGCAATTCCTCAATAGATGGCACTGCCTCATCACTGCCATTAGTAAACCAGCAAGGGTTGTGTAGCTGCATCCGTTTTTTTTTTTTTACCAACTGAGTAAGTAAATGATCGTATTTTTCGCAGTATTATACAGTATATCAACAATATTAGTTAAAACAATTGTTTTATAGTAATGAGGTAACAGTCTTTGTAAGGGGCTGATTTCAGTTGACCCTAAGAAACCCTCCGCTACAACCCATCAATTAGCGTCGTGGAAGACGCATGGTAATTTTCAAGGTATATTTTTGTAATAAAAAGTACTTCTTCTCTGCCGCAAAATATGGATAGTGTGTGCATGTAAATGAGTAAAAATAATTGAAGAAAGTTATGAATATCGACCCAAAAATAGGAGTTGAAAAACAACCAGAAAACCGCAGCTTGGCCCAGTAACCTGGTGGTTCCAGTGACGAGTTTAACCTGGCTACGATGCCATGATTAATCACTATTAAGCACTATTATATCAGTAAACACTAATAATAACAGTAAAGCCAATGAAATATGGCAGAGGGGGAGGAGAGTTACAACTACAGGAGACTCTGTAACTAGTGGTTACTCACACGCTCCCAGGCTCCAAGTGCCAGGCATACAATCGAAATGCAGTACGTATCGGAGAAATACATGCAGTATCTTGTGGTCTAATTTGAAAACGGTGACAGGCACAGTGATAAACAAATTATATAAACCATGCAATTACCTACGATAACATAATAAAAAACATTGTATCATTACTAGAGTGAATGAAATAATATTCCCCAAAACAACAATTGATAATTCTCGGGAACCTGTGTCCCGCACGTTAACGCGGATATTTCATCAGAAGGCAAATTTTTATTATTTTTTTTATTTTGAATTAACTTTAATTGTGATGAATAAGTTACAATAAAAAATACCAAACCAGTAAATAAAAGCAAAATGAAAGTTTAACACAGTCGCTATTTGCAGGCACTCCCTGTTTCACTATAGTAATGAAGATCAGCTGGGACGCTGACTCCCTAGCAAGCCTCCCCCCTCCCTACACTCTGTGACCATCTTTCCCTCCCTCCCTCCCTAACTCGTCTGCAAAGAAATGTAAATTCCTTTTAGGTGCTTGCCCTTAGGACAATTATATTTTTTTACTTTTTTCACAATATGTATGTCGGATGTTGTGTACGTGTAACTGAATAAAAGTAAATGAAGATAGTTACGTATATCGACCTGAAAATACGAGTTGAAAAACAACCATAACACTTGACCCAGCAAATGATGTGGACTGGGTTTGTTTTAGCAGCAGGGGAGTAAACAAGGCATATGGACTGACAGAAAGAGATGGGATAGGAATTTACCACTTCCAGATGTCGGTCCGGACCAACTGAAATCCGGACTGATAGGTCTGGAAGTGCGAGGGTTTACTGTACCTTAATTAGTTTTCTGTAGATTCATCAGCAAATATGTTTCCTTATCTTAAACCCAGGCATTACAGTTTAGGATGAAAGCTTACTGTATCATGTTGGCATGTAATATCATCTTTGCAGGGCATAAGGAGCAAGTCTTTCCAAACTCCACTTTCTTATGTTCTTAGATGTAGTTAACACTCTCTTTAGGATTTTGTCCACTACGGATTGAAATGCAAAATTTTAAGATTACTGTACAGGAATCTTCATTTCCTGAAGGATCTAGTTAATGTTTAGTCAAACAATTCTCACCACTCATTCAACCATCAAGGCTATGAATATTTACTTCTTAACATTAACAATGCTAAAACTGATTTCTCGACAGCTCTGTATATTTTAATGTAACATAGTATGTGAAACCTTGAGTAAGTGATCCCTTGCCCACAAAGAACACAGTTCATTTGTAGGAGTAACAATGAATAAATGGTTGGTGAATAGTGAGTGTTTTTGCTTCAGATTCTGGCTGCCATGCATCTTGGCAGTATATGCTTCAAAAAATCTTCTTTTTTATTTCTTGCTATTAAATTAGTTTCTAATCTACTGGTACTGTACAGTATGTGTACGAGTATATCTGTACAGAAGTAATTTTTACTAGGCACTACTATTTTTAGTAATGTATATGTCTTTTACAGATTTTTAAGTGTTGGAGCTCAGCGTAGCATTACCATTACTGAAAAACTCATGGCTGAAAGATCTAAAAGAATTACATCGTTTTGGTATTCGGAATTCCTCTTTGCATAACAGAGACAGGTACTGTAACTGAAAATGAGAAACTGTAGGTTCTATCTTCTGTAAGTTGATTTTATTGTCTACTTCAATTAACTTCTTGATACCTTTTTTAAAAAGGAAGAATTTATTCTGATGTAGGTTCACCACCGAATTTCCGGCACCTTTGGTTCCTGAGCCTTGCCATACCATCCATTTTGCCGGATTAACAAAGGTCATATATAATAATTAAGCAATACATCTCTGACCCACTAGCTATACACCTCCTGGTATCTTTAAAGCACCATGGCTGCTTGAAAAAACAAATATGTTCTGTACTCTTACCGTCTTTCAATGTTTTTCTAATGCACATTTGCTTCTTGGAATCACTTTCTTCATAGAATCTCAGTACTTTTTCTCATTTCTTCTTTATATCATACACAGTTGACGAACCAATACCCTACTGATCACACACCTGTCACACCGAAACATCACGGTCAAGTTTTCTCAACAGTTCCACCTTATCTTGTATCGATATGGACTGTTGTTTACGCTTTACACCACTCATAAATCGCCTTTAAGTCAATATATATATATATATATATATATATATATATATATATATATATATATATATATATATATATATATATATATATATATATATATATATATATATATATATATATATATATATATATATACATATATATATATATATATATATATATATACATATATATATATATATATATACATATATATATATACATACACTAGAACTCACAAATCACTCCTGTAATGTGATACAGGTGATAAATTTTTATCTCTTGTGCAAAATATATGTCAATATTCAAATTATTCGCTGTGCTGCAAGGATTCTAGCAATGCAAATTATGTTCGCCTAACTTTAGTCTGTGATATTATATAAGATAAAACTTTAAGCTAAAACCACCAAACCCTCTCTCTGTGAGGATGGTGGAGGCAGGAGCCGGGAGGTTGGGGAGGCGGGAGGTGGAGGAGACGTGAGGTGTTTTGACAGTCGGCGCCAAGGTTTACCCAGTGCGTATTTATTTACAGTCATCCCTTGGTTATCACGACTAATTGGGACCACGCCGAGTGCGTGATAACGAAAAATGCGATAATGAAAGTGCAGAACCTATGGGATTTATTGTACAGTCAACCCTCACTTTACGCGGTCCCACATTCCGCGTTTCCATGTTTACACGGTGCCCTGCCAGAACCCAGGATGCTCACATTCCGCGGTGAGTGTACCTCTTTACGCGGGTGAAGTATAATTTTTTATTTAGCTCATAAAATTCATACAAATTATCCGGCCAGAATATAATTTACATTGCTGGAATTCTTACAATTTGATGATCATTTTGAATATAAACATCATAGATTTTGCATTAGACATACAAATTTTAGATATAATGTTTACTCTGAGTAAATATGTTATCTTTTGTGCAAAATATATGACATTTATATTCAAAATATTCCTGGTCTTACAAGGAATCCAGCAATGTCAATTATATTATCCTAACTTTAGTCTGATTTATTATTTATTACTAAAAAGGTAAACAGTCTGGTATTCCCACACATTCATCTGGTAGGGAGGGTTGGTGGGGGGTGGGAGGGAGGAAGGGACCGGCGACCGACCACCTGGCAGTGTGAAGAATATATTTTTTTTTATTAACTGAAGATATTTGTTTTAGCTCATAAAATTCATACAAATTACCCGACCAGAATATAATTTACATTGCTGGAATTCTTACAATTTGATGATCATTTTGAATGTAAACATCATATATTTTGCATTAGACATACAAATTTTAGATATAATGTGTACTCTGAGTAAATATGTTATCTTTTGTGCAAAATATATGACATTTATATTCAAAATATTCCTGGTTTTACAAGGAATCCAGCAATGTCAATTATATTATCCTAACTTTAATCTGAGGTATTATTTAATACTAAATGTTAAAATCTAGTTTTTTCACCCAACTTTCTCTTGAAGGGAGGATTGGTGGGGGGTGGGGGGAGGGTTGGGACGGACCGACCATCTGGCCCGGTTGGAAGAGGGGGGAGGCAAGGTGGGGTACTTTGATTGACAGATAGTGTCGTGAAGAATATTTTTTTTTTATTAACTGAAGATATTTGTTTTAGCTCATAAAATTCATACAAATTACCCGGCCAGAATATAATTTACATTGCTGGAATTCTTACAATTTGATGATCATTTTGAATATAAACATCATAGATTTTGCATTAGACATACAAATTTTAGATATAATGTTTACTCTGAGTAAATATGTTATCTTTTGTGCAAAATATATGACATTTATATTCAAAATATTCCTGGTCTTACAAGGAATCCAGCAATGTCAATTATATTATCCTAACTTTAGTTTGAGGTATTATTTATTACTATACCTGGTTTTCCCCCCAAAATTTCTGAGAGGGAAGAGCCAGCAAGTGTAGTGTGAGAAGAGGGGGAGGGAGTTGAGTCCATTATTTGAATGGACATTAACTTGGCGACTGTATTTCTCTATTTCTCTTAAGTATTAATTGTGTGCATGTACCATCATAAAATTAAGATGTTATTTTTACTAGAACATAGGTATTGTGTTGGAAAAAGTGGAGTTTGGGGGTCAGCTGGTCTCTATTTCATTTAATCCCATATGTTATGTTATTCACTTAACGCGTTTCTCACTTTCCGCGGTACCCTGTGGGTTACATTAACCGCGTAAATTGAGGGTTGACTGTAATTGGTTCCAGGCACCCAAGACCCAACCCCAAATTTCCCATTTTACGACCATTTAGTCCCACTAAATATATATATAATGTTATAGTAAATATCATAAACACACATAGGCATGGCTAGGTTTATTACAAAGTGATGAAAAGGGTATGCTCAATACTGTAGTCCACAAAACATGTAGCTATGCCTTCTTTATTCGAGTCCCCCATCATAGCAGTCCGTTTTCTCTCGCTTCAGGACGCCTGAGTCCTCCGTTTTCTTTCAATCTTAGAGTGCACCAGAGACTTCGTTATTCCTTAGTAATGACACAGAATTTGAAATTGCAACTGGGATTGCAATTGTTGAGGCAACTTAGATATGTCTGATTATAGTTGGAACATTCAAGATCCATTGTGAGTGATGTTGAAAGCTTCAACTGTATTTATGGTTGGTAAAACTTGTCAAGTAAGTGAGTGTCAAGTCTGTCAGTATGAGTGGCATGTGTGAGTGCTTGTGTTTGTACACTCGCAACAAAAGTATCGGTGCATACTGTAGTGTGAACAATTTGAGACCAGTGATGATAGGTATTGGGAAAAGCGAGTTGTTCCAGCCCTATGTTGGCAGCCCTGTAATCCTGCTGAGCTACTACTATTGCCTGGTCAAGTGAAACAAACCATTATAAATAAGGTTGGGAAGTGATAAATAAACAGTATGAAATATGAGGAGCTCCCTGTTAACAAAATAATTTGTGATACTTGTGAATATTGCCACATTAAATTATGCTACCAAATAAACCACTCAACCTGGTCGTCCTGAGGGGTGGTGCAGCGTGGACGGCCGCTCCGAGACCTGTCGTCTGTAGCACCAGTTTCGAGGTATCGCCGAATCCATCGTGCAGCAGTGTTCCTGTGGACACCAACCCGCGGGCTAATATCTGTGATGCGAACCCTTCGCTATGAAGGGCAATAATAGCTCCTCATGTTCCCTCTGAGGTTTCCATGTCGTCTGGCATGTGTAGATCTCTACTGCTTCATATTGCCTCTGTTTTATACCCACGTTCACTGAGACTGAACCCTCGCTCATCATTCAGTCGACACAAAGCAACAATCCGAAAAGAGGAAACAAACACACTAATTGTTAACCATATGGCAACACCTAGTGGAGGGGGTGGGGGGGGGGGGTTATGAGGATACACTTACCAACCTTCCCGACATATCACAGTGTATACGTATTGTTTCGGAATTTGTCGATCTCACCCTGCACCGGTACTTTTTGGTGCGAGTGTACAACCGCTTTCAAGTTTTGTTACCTCCATCCATTTTCATCCATCAAATTTGTCAATTTGTAGGTGAAACATTTTATCCTCAATAGATGTAGGTGAAGCAAGGGGGTAACAATATACCTCGAGGCAACTATGTCATAACTAAATTCTCGGCCTAAAGATATATATAATGCTATGGTAAGTCAGAATCACACATAGGCATGGCTAGGTTTATTACAAAGTGATGAAAAAGGTAGCTATGCTTTCTTTATTTGAGTCCCCCATCATACGAGTCCGTTTTCTCTCGCTTCAGGATGCCTGAGTCCTCCGTTTTCTCTCAATCTTAGAGTGCACCAGAGACTTCGTTATTCCTTAGTAACGACACAGAATTTGAAATTGCAACCCCAATTGCAACTGGGGTTGCAATTGTTGAGGCAACTAGATATGTCTGATTACAGCAAATGTGTTATTGTCAATTTGTAGGTGAAAGATTTTATCTTCAATAGATGTAGGTGAAGCAAGGGGGGTAACATTACACCTGGAGGCAAATGCGTGATAACCAAATTCTCGGCCTGAAAAATGCGCTATAACAGCAGCTGTGCAGATTTTGATGGAGGCGTGATAACCAAGTGCGCTATAACCAAAGGATGACTGTATTTGTCATAGAGAGGATTTTAAGTTTTTCTCTTATAGAATGTCACTGAACTGACCTGGGAGAATATAATTTACATTTATTGGTTTCTTATAAGATAGTGATTAATTTGAATATAAACATACTATAGTTTGCACTAGACATAAACGTTTTGAAAATTTTTAGTTTGACATTGGAAATTGTAACCTAACCCCTGGGGTAATCCGCAGAGTAAACAAACAAAGTAAGCATGGTTAACACATATCGCCATCTGTGAGAAGCCTACTAAACTAATCTGGAGGTCGCGGGAATTTTGTCCGGATTAAAAGAGGTGCTACATCCTTTGCCGGAAAATCGGTGGTGTACCTGTATCTCATTTTATGGCCAAATCAAGAACTTGGTATGTAGTTCCTATATATATATATATATATATATATATATATATATATATATATATATATATATATATATATATATATATATATATATATATATATATATATATATATATATATATATATATATATATATAAGTGGTCCCTCGGTTAATGAACGGTTCGTTTAACGAAATTTCGGTTAACGAATTACCTCCCTTATGACAAACACATTTTGTTGTGAGCAAGAGCTGATCAGCTGATGGGCTAGTCTGCTAATTCAGTAATTTGTTCTATATATACATTTGCTTCCAGTGGAGTAAATATCAAGAAAGTTGTGCTTTTTAATATTTTTGCATTTTTTATATTAAAATTATTAGTCATTTTAAATTTTTTTTAACATATTGGTAATATATGCAGTACAGGGAACTATTTTTTTGTGCGCCCATCAGTCGCTTGACTCACCCATCAGGCGTCAGTTTGGCTTTGCTTACAGTGGAATGAACATCGATTTTATTGGTGTCTTATATATTTTTGCATTTATACATTAAAATTATTGGTCATTCTGATATTTAGTTAACATATTGATAATATAAAGCGCAGTGCAGTGTTGATTTAAATAAAATAATCTTCAATTACAGAGTGAACTGAAATTTTTTTTGGTGAAATGACTCCATCAAGCATGGGTTTCCTGAAAGGTGATTTCTCCTCCATCCCCACTTCCTTCTCTTCTCCCTTCTCCTCCACCCCCACTTCTAATTCCCATCATCATCATCAACCAGGAACCTTCTACATACATACCTCAAAGTAAGTGTACTTAACTGCATTTTTACTTTGTATGTACTTTTCTGTGAGCTGGAACCAATTACCCAATATCTCGTTGAAAAAATGGATTCGGTTAACGAAATTTCCCTCCACGATGATACGATCTAACTCCTCCTTAAAAGCTTCGGCAGCACCAACATCAGCACTAGCTGCCTCTCCCCTCACCTTTACATTATGTAAACTGTAGCGGTTCTTAAATCTGTTAAACCACTTGCTGTGAAGGTTTGGTCGCACTCATCTCCTGCCTGCTCCTTCAGGCTTTCGAAAAGGCTTCTTGCCTTAGCCTGTAGGGTTAGAAGGCTTTAGGGTACAGTGAGTTCTGCTATAACGCGTGTTTTGACAACGCGAATTGGCTCTAACGCGATTGATGAATAGAGGAACAATATTTGTAAAACGCGAATGCGTTTGCTCTAACGCGATTCCACTCAAACGGTTGTTGTGGCTTGGTGCGGGGTTATGCATTGTTTACAGTTCACGTTCGACATCACATGTTCAATTGAGTTATGTGTTTTGTTTGTGAAGAATTGCAGAAATAATTTATGTAATATTTATGTATACTGTACAGTATACCTGTACAGTATATGCAAATTGTAAAATTTTAAATAAAAGAGAAAAACAAATTACATAGCGTTTTACACCTGCACTCCGTTTACATCACACACAGTGTTTCCAGTTTACAGTTCACATTCGACATCTCATGTTCAATTGATTTATGTGTTTTGTTTGTGAAGAATTGCAGAAATAATTTATGTAATATTTATGTGTGTGTGATGTAAACAGAGCGCTTGGCCTCTCTCTCTCTTTCTCACTCTCTCTCTCTGTATGGATGGAATTCGTGGTTTAGAGTGTGTGATACGAATGTCGTAACATTACTAGGCTGAAGGCGCCTAAATACTACTTAAACACATCAAAGCTATGTTAATTGATCACTGTATAATAAATTCATTCACTCATAATTTCAAATTCCCCTATCATCCTGTGTTATATACAGAAATACTTGAGTCCCTGAGTGAGTACACAAAAAGAAAACGGAGGACTAAGACATCCTGAAATGGATAGAGAACGGACATCTCTACTGGGGGACTCAAACGTTTCTCATATTTTGTGGGCGCTGTAGCATAATATGAATAATATGTAAATTACAGTTTACATGTATATATGTAAATTGTAAAATTTTAAATAAAAGAGAAAACTAAATACGTAGCGTTTAAAGTGTACTGTACAGTGTTGTCGCTTAGCGCGGGGTTATGCTGGGCGTAAGTGCGGGGGGTTGTAGGTTGAGTAGGTCGTAAGTCGGGGAGTTGCTGTGTGTGTGTGTGTGTGTGTGTGTGTGTGTGTATATATATATATATATATATATATATATATATATATATATATATATATATATATATATATATATATATATATATATATATATATACACACAGTCAATCCTCACATTACGCGGTCCCGCATTCCGCGTTTCACCGTTAACGCGGTGCCTTGCCAGAACCTAACATGCTCACATTCCGCAGTCGTGAACCCCATTACGCGGAGAGCGGCTGGCAAGCCGCGCCATTTTTGGATCCAAACCTCCCGCCATCCGCCATGTTGTGTAAGAGGCGCGAAAATGGTGCGCACAAGGTCGCCCAGTCATCAAAACATTACCGAGTTCTTTACCCGCCACCCACCACAACCGGCCCAAGTCAGTGATAGTGATAATTATAGTGAGGATATGGACTTATATGGACTTTGAGGGGTTTAACAAAGAGGCCCTGCAAGCCTCTGTGGTGGATAGTGATACAATTGATACCAGTGATACAGGTGAGGGCCAATAATCTGCCCTCTGCCTCGGAACCAACCCCCCATCCCCGTGTGCCCAGCCATCTTTTCTACTAATGTAAGTGTTAAAAAACCTAATATTATTGATATTTCTCTTAATTATTAATTGTGTGTGCATGCCATCATAAAGTTAAGATAATATTTTTACTACAACATAGTTGTGTGTCGTCAAAAAGTGGAGTTTGGGGATCGGCCTGGACTCCATTTCAATTAATCCCATATGTTATGTTGTTCACTTTACGCGTTCCTCACTTTCCGCGGTACCCTCCGGGTTACATTAACCGCGTAATGTGAGACCCAACTATGTATATATATATATATATATATATATATATATATATATGTATGTATGCCACATCTACATACATACATTCATACATACATACATACATACATACATACATACATACATACATACATACACACATGCATACATACATACATACATACATACATACATACACACTTACACCACATACATACATACATACATACATACATACATACATACATACATACATACATACATACATATATACATATATATATATATATATATATATATATATATATATATATATATATATATATATATATATATATATATATATATATATATATACACCCCGCTTAACACGGTTTCGCTTAGCGCGATTTCACGTATACGCGGTGCCTCGCCAGAGCTGAACTTTCACTTAACGCGGGTTTTTTCCACATATACGCGCAGAGTGTCCGGCTCGAGAGCTATTTTTAGATTCGCCCCACCCTGCCTGACTGCCTGCCTGCTTGTTTTAGCTCATAAAATTCATACAAATTACCCGGCCAGAATATAATTTACATTGCTGGAATTCTTACAACATGATGATCATTTTGAATATAAACATCATAGATTTTGCATTACCGTATATCTCGGCCTATAAGGCGTCGGGGTGCATAAGACGGCCCCCCCAAATTTCCATTTAAGAAGTAGCTTTTGAGCTCTATTTGCTGTATAAGACCAGTACCCCAAATGTGACACTTACCCACTGACTCAGTAGTCCTTTACCAACCATCCTTGGTTTTTTAAAATAAGGCCAATTCACTTCAAGTAATGGCATCAAATGTTACCAGCTGGTGTAGTGTAAACACTAGTGACGTCACTTAAGCGTCTGTATTTAACTGTCGGTAGTTTCAAGAATTAATGCAGTCATTTACTGAATATTCCTTGTAAAAAAATAAATTTTAAATTAATTATTTATAGGAGATAAGTATTATTATCAGTAAATATACCGATATGCATTACTGACCACCTCCACGGCTAAAAATAGCCCAATCTCGCGGTCACTTTCCCTTTCTTGTCTCCTCACTGGCAAATGAGGGGGGGGAGTGGGGAGGGGTGTGTGATGATAGCTGTGTTTATTACAGGGGTATAATTCTCTTTTACGGTATGTTAGACAGGTTTATAATACATTTTTATTATTTTAATATACCGGTAATCTTAATTTGAATCCAGCTTGCCAAACGTAAGTTTCAGTATAAAATAATTAGTGGTAAGACCTTGTGAGTAGCTTACGATGTTTCCATCACCACTCTTGACACACTAAACCACAATATTTAAGAGGTAAGAATTTTATACTTGGTGGTTTAGACGACCCCCTAACTTTTGGCAGATTTTTTTAATGTTCAAATTCCGTCTTATAAGCCGAGATATACGGAAGACATACAAATTTTAGATATAATGTTTACTCTGAGTAAATATGTTATTTTTTGTGCAAAATATATAACGTTTGTATTCAAAATATTCCTGGTCTTACAAGGAATCCAGCAATGTCAATTATATTATCCTAACTTTAGTTTGAGGTATTATTTATTACTAAAAAGGTAAATATTCTGGTTTTCCCACACATCTGGTAGGGAGGGTTGGTGGGGGGTGAGGGGGAGGGAGGGACCGACCGACCATCTGTTACCGTGTGAAGAATATATATATTTTTTTTATTAACTGAAGATATTTGTTTTAGCTCATAAAATTCATACGAATTACCCGGTCAGAATATGATTTACATTGCTGGAATTCTTATAATTTGATGATCATTTTGAATATAAACATCATAGATTTTGCATTAGACACAAATTTTAGATGCAATGTTTACTCTGAGTAAATATGTTATCTTTTGTGCAAAATATATGACATTTATATTCAAAATATTCCTGGTCTTACAAGGAATCCAGCAATGTCAATTGTATTATCCTAACTTTAATCTGAGGTATTATTTAATACTAAATGTTAAAATTTAGTTTTTTCACCCAACATCTCTTGAAGGGAGGATTGGTGGGGGGTGGGGGGGAGGGTTGGGACGGACCGCATGGTTGGAAGAGGGGAGGTGGTATGACAGATTCTTGGTGACTATTTTGAATATAAACATCATAGATTTTTATTAGACATACAAATTTTAGATATAATGTTTACTCTGAGAAAATATGTTATCTTTTTGCAAAATATATGACATTTATTCAAAATCTTCCTGGTCTTACAAGGAATTAGTATGTCAATTAGATTATTCTAACTTTAGTTTGAGGTATTATTTATTAAAATTTAGATAAATTTCTTTCAGAGCCAGCAGTGTAGTGAAGGAGTCGCCATTTGAATGACATAACTTGGCACGTATTTCTCTATTTTCTTGTTTGTAGGCACCATCATTTAGATGGTATTTTTACCAGAACAGAGTATTGAAAGTGGCTTGGTCAGCTGCTCTATTTCATTTAATCCCATGTTATGTTATTCAGTTTGCCACTTCCGCGGTACCCTGTGGGTTAACATTAACCGCAAAGTGAGGGTTGACTGTATATATATACAGTTATTCCCCACTTAACGTCAATAGAACCCAGAGGTCCCGTGTTAAGTGAAATCGCTGCTAAGTGAACAACAGAACATAGGATTAATTCCAATAGAAACCGCCCGACCTCAAACTCCACTTTTTGAAGACATAACTATGTTGTAGTAAAATAACATCTTAATTTTATGATGGTACATGCACACAATTAATACTTAAAGAGAAATACAGTCGCTAGTTAATGTCCATTCAAATAATGACTCAACTCCTCCCTCACACTACACTGCCGGCTCTTCACTCTGAGAAATTTTTGGGAAATCCAACAAATTTTAATAAATAATACTCAAA